GGTATGAGACGGATAATCTGTGAAAAACATCGATCTCTGCCTTTTCTTAGTGCTAACTAGAAACAACCAATCAAAGTCTGGAGGCGGGTCTTAGGGCTGTCAATCACCCTTTCACCCTCCCCCTTGGTCGCTGCTACGCTGCAGCTAACATTAGCATTATGCATGCTAAAACTCGTTAGTAGGACGGAAGATAAAAGGTTTTCCTGTAACGTTAAGTTGTTTCTTTACCATTAGCACACTGAGCAACGAGTACATGAGGTTGATTGACAACGATAAGACCCGCCTCCTTGTTTGGATTGGTCGTTTTTGGTGGGGACGAATCAGCAGCTCTTCATTTCTTCAGATGGTCATAACAGCTCCAGGAGGAGCTCGATTTTTTTCCACAGCTTATCTGTCTCATTAAACTGTCACGACATTGTGATAGTTTTAATTAATAAGTATAAAACACAATAAAAAAGCATATTCTTTATAAAAGTTACATTCCGCAGCTTTAAAGGAACGCTTCGGTTTTCTGGAAGGTGAGCGCTGCTTCTCCATGTTTGGTTCTGGTTCTGGGGATTCAGAGCAGAACCAGAACCAGAACCAGAAGACCTGAGTGGTCTGGAAGGTTGATACAACAACAGATCTTTAAGTTGCTTTGTTGCTGAACTGTGCTACATAAATAAAATTGCCATGCCTTGGAGACTATACATGCACACACAACTATTGTGCAGGTAATCTATGTGCAGAACTACACTGTAAAAAGAAATTTTGTAAAATATATGGTGAAAAATTGTGAAATATCAACGGTTACAGACTGACTGTAGCATCTGCAGCATTATACTGCCATAGAAAAAGAATGGAATTACAGTGACTCAAGAAACATAAACTTCATGTAATATTTAACACAGAAATTTCTTGTGAAAATCTTGTAAAATTCATTTAAAAAAAGTTGTATTACCAGCAGTTAAGTACCCTCAGATTAATGGTACTAATCGACCAAGATTACAAATATTGCTGATATTTATATCAATGATGTAAAACCGTAAACCAGGCTGCAAAAGCAGTTTTTACAAAGAATAGGATGCTGGTGTGATATTTTGGTTTCTTAATAATCGATTTATTTATAATGCCCTCTATATATCAAATTGAAATCTCAAATGAAAGACAGGAATCTAATTAGTGATGCACCGATTGCAGGGCGAACTCCTACAGCTGACGCCATTTTGAGAGTACTTTATTAAATGACGCATGTGGGATTATATATAATTTTATGCTAACCATTAACATAGCAGCCAAATACATAGTAGGCGTAGGACAGCGAGGCATGAGACGGTTTTTCATGATGTTGTTGTGTTAACAGTAGGGTTTTCAGTTAATGCAGTTACTGTTGTTTGTCATGTCAACACAGAGTTCTCCAGTTTGTATTTCTGCTTGATGCTGCAGCATCACCAGCAACAGCTGTTGCTTGTTATTTTTAACTCTGCAATCCTGCAGTTGAGCAGAGGCTCTGGGCTCCCTGAACTCCACAGTATTGTCAGTCTAAGTGCACAAATCCACACACATTACATTGAATGTAATGTGTGTGGCCCACAACAACAGACATTTTTTCTTTTTTACAGTGTATTTTTTACAGTCTCATTTAAAGCTACACAAATGTTTTGCCTGATTTTACTCCAGGTTCCCAGCAGGGGAGAGTCTGCGGTACTCTGCAATAGGCGCATTAAGCCAACAGCATAAAAATCTGTTAGTGTGAGAGGGGTGAAGGCTGCAGCTGTTGAAACTTCAGTTGCAACCACAAACAAACGTTTGATTTTTTTACTTTTTTTTTTCCTCTGGATAGTTTGAACAGGTCACTGACCAACCCACCCTTTCCCGCACATGCTGTTGAGAGTCAATGAAAAAAAGAGAGGTTGAGACCTGGCAGCAGCCGTAAACTGATTATTTTTTTTATGTTTGAAGAAGGAGGATCTCACTGAAAGAGCAGAGCTACAAAGGAATAATTTAAATCAAATATCTATGGATGAGAATTCTCAGGTCAAGAATCTGTGATCATCCTTGAAAAATTATGTCGACTTAAATCAGTAAGGCTTTGAGTTCATTCGCCTTTCAAGTCTTAATCTCAGGTGAAATGGAGATGCTCTACAAAGTATTTACTAGAGGATGTTTTGTAATGTCACTAAATGTGAAACAGCTCAAGTCTGTGAATGCCTTTTCAAGCTACCACATAGATGATGTATAAAACTTTTACATTCACAAGGAATAGCAGGCATATATTTGATTAAAACTCAGGACAACTGCATCATCAGTTTACAACAGGCTATAAGGTCCCAAGAGCACTTTGGAAAGGTCATCAGTGGTTTTTGCTGCATTCCCGTAAGCCCTCTGGTAGAGTCAAGGTCGAGGAAACAGAACAGTAAATAGAAACTTTTTGACAGTATCAGTAGTTTTGCAGGTTTTTGTTGACTTCGTCTTCATTACGTTCCATGTATTTATCAATCAGCTGTTAATTTTTAACAATCTGTATTGATCATTTAATCTGATCATACAGCTTCTGACGGGAAATGTAACTAGGGCGTACGCTGTACAACCTTCGAGCCACGTGTGTCTACTGACTTCTTCTCTTCAAGTCAAAGAAATCTCACTTAAATGTTTGAGTTGGTGGAAGATAAACTTATACTTGCAGGTTGTGTTAATAATTGTCATATTTCCAAGAGCTGAGCAAACTGGTGTTCATTTAGGTCAGCACTTCAAGAAACATGAAAGACTTTTATAGTTGGAGTGAGAACTTGGAAGCAAAGTCAGTATCAGTACTACAATATGTACAAGACATTTGAGAGTATAGAAGTTATGTTACTTTCTCAAACCCAAGGTTCATCAAATAAACACTTAACACTTTAATTTGAGTATGAAAATATGTATAATATTTTAAAGTGTCGAGGATGGATTAAAGTGACTCATACTGCAACGATGGGTTATATATTATAATTCTATCCTAAAAACAATGGACTATTTTTAACGGTGGAAGGACACTGTGTGGCGTGACGTATTTAATGGCCAGATGGAGGCGGAAGACTGTTGCCAACTCAGCCACTTTATTTTCTTATTGGAGACTTTCGCGACAGCATATGAGCCTGAAGAATCTAAGTCAATGGGAGAAAGCCGTTGGGTGTGCGCCGAGAAAGGACACACAGAGCTCATTTGATGTTTGAGGAAACGCAAGTTATTTCCCCATGGTTCTCAGTTACAGGTGTTGCCTTGTCTGCAAAAAGATGTGATTGGATATGTAACCAGTTAGTTTTCTTTGATTTTCTTAGTTATTAATTTGTTTGTACTACAAGTTTAAATATCCCTCAGGAGACACTCAGCATGCGCATCATGTGGAGAGGTTACAGTCCAAAATGTAATTGTCCTGGGTTCGATTCCCGGTGTCAGGCCATTTGTTGCATACAGTGAAAAATTAGTAACACTTTATTTGACAGGGTGTGCATAAGACTGACATGACACTGTGATGAACATGACATAACATCAGTTAGGAACATGAAGGAGTCTTTATGAATGTCTGACTGTTGTCATGAAGTGTCATTCACAACTGCAAAGTTGCTCTAAAAGTTGCGTTGAAAGTCCATTAACAGTGCCAACTTTGAATTATTTTGTAAAAAAAAAGATACTTTAATGCAAAGTAATGCACTTTTAATTGACTTTTAAAACAACTTTTAGAGCAACTTTGCATTAAAAGTGTCATTATTTACCGTATGACACTTTATGACAACAGTCATAAACATTCATAAAGACTTCATGTTCATAACAGATGTTATGTCATGTTTATGACAGCATCATGTCAGTCTTATGCTCAACCCTTCAAATAAAATGTTACCGAAAATGATTAAATTTTGGCTGGTATGGCTTTGAATATATTACTGAAAGTTCAAAGGTCAACCAGCCCCCCATGTTACCCAAATCTAAAAAAATTGGTGTCAAACATACTTTGTTTGTTTCTGCACAAAGTATGTTTGTGCAGAAACAAACTTTGAGCAGCTATCATCCCACAATTGAGTAACTTGGTCAAACACAGAAGTAAATCAGATAAATGACCTTTAGTGGAACATTTCCTGTAAAAAGAAGGGAAAAAAAAGAGTTTCAGGAACAAGCATGGTTGTATGTTTAGAGGTATATCTAAAATTAATTGAATATGAAGTAAAACTTTTCTGTGAGTTATTTCAAAAACTAAAACTCAGTTTTAACACACAGAGGGAAATATTTAATGTCTTTAATTATTTAAATTTTGATTATTATGTCTTACAGATAATGAAAACCCAGAATTCAATGAGTAAAAAAACTTAATTTAACATAAAATCAATGGGAAATTTTAAGCAGAAATGTTGGACTTCTGAATAGTTTTGTTACTACAGATACTCTTTACTGGAGCTCTTCAACGTCAGTTTTCAAGGACCAACGTTCTGGAACTTCTGCTTGTGTACATTAGAGAAGTTGTTCATTTTTTTATTCTAAACCGTTTAACTATTATTCTGTAATATCACACCTCACTACACCGGTATTCATAAAACAAATCTTGACAGAGATAAAAAGCTGCTTGGTTATTAATGTTCTGACGGTGTCAAAGCTTGGTAATATTGATCAAAATGACTGACTTTGTTACCTTTGACACTTCAATAGTTAATCATAGCAAAATCAAGCCTATTGTTACACAGAAATAGTTTTATATTTATGAATCCTTTTGAAATTTGGGGTGTGGTGTCATAACTTTATCCTTCTGTCTAATTCAAACTATGCAAAATTATTTTAATTATTGATTTAGATAAAACATTTTATTCATTATGATTGTTACTTTGCATGATATTTTCATGTGCATCTCCGTATACGCTTTATCTATCTATGAAAACTTTATGAAAACTTTCAACACCACAACAGTACTGAAAAAGCAAACAGAGTAAACATGTTTTTTCTCTGCAGTTAACCATTAACAAGATATCCTGAAGCTTTATAAAAACACCAAACAGCATCCAGTCAGTCAGAGAACTAGAGGCAGCATTAGAGAACCAGGATGGCTTTCACACTGTGGTTGTTACTGTGTTTCTGTGGTGTAACTTTGGCCCAGGAGGTTTTACCTCACATGTTTTACCAAACAGAAGGTGCTACTGGAGCTGGGACATGCTTTGCTGATATGTCTAAATTTCTCAAAGAGGTTGGGGCTATAAAAGAGAAACAAGAAGCCATGGAAACGAGGCAGAATGAGACTGAAAACCAGGTTCTAGAACTGAAGAAGAAAGGTAAAGTCTGCTTTTGGACATTTTAAAGACATATATTACAAAATAAATGGAAAAGTTTACAGATATTGTCTTATATTTTTATTTAGAAGCATCCAACATAGTATTTAGTGCTACAACAGATGGCAGTGAATCTTTTGGACCCTTCAGCACAGCCACAACCATAGTCTACAGCAGAGTAATAATCAATGTGGGCAATGCCTACAATCAGCACACAGGTGAGTTATTACATTATTTAAATTATATATTTCTAGATTAGAATACCTGTAGTATCAGTCACTAGAGTAGGGGGTTAACTCTCCTCCTGCAGACCTAACTAAAGGTCAGAGGGGTGAAGGGACATTAGGGGACAGCTACAGATTCAGAAACCTACTGTTGCAATTCTCCCTCCTCCTCTTTCAAGTAAAACATACACGTGTCACCTTTTTGCAATTTTGATTTCAAAGAGGCAAGATTTTATGACACCATATTACTGCCAAAATTAAGACTATAGAACACCCCTCTGCAGGAGGCTAAATTCGTTCTGAAGCTAGCTACTGGTCAAACTTTTAACAGGAGGGCACCGATAACTGAACGGCTGCCACTGTCAAATGAGAAGGAGATTCTGCTAGCTTTGAAGAGGCTAGTGACTAGCATGCCTAGGCTGGTCACTCAATAGTTTTCTTACTTCCTCTTCTGTCCATTAGCAGAGAAAAGCTAACATTAGCACTGGGTAGGCTAACTTGACTATGTTGGTCACCTGAGACTTGCACTTCTTACTTTAAAGAAAATGTTATCAAGAAAAATAGTTGGCATATTATATCTGTTATCATTATTAATTACATGCATTGACATCTGTTCTTTTGACAGTTTACTGTAAAACATGACATCAAGCATAAACATGCTGCATAGTACGCAGCTGAGGAAGCTGGCTTCCGTTTCAGCAGATGGCTTCAATTTGTGACACCAATTATGCAAGATGTCACTCTGTGTTACAGTAAACTGTCTCAAGAACATATCAATGCATGCAATGTATGACACTTAGAGATATATTACCAACTATTTTTTAAGAAAAAGAACAAGTAATGGGTGACCAGCCTATGCTAGTTGCCAGCCTAACGCTAGCCAATCCAGTGGATGAACAGCCTAGGCCAATGCAAATGAGTTTATATAAAAAGACTGAATCATGTTTTGTAATATTTATTAAACCTAAATCTTGTTTTTCCCAGGTATCTTTGCTGCACCAGTTCCAGGCATATACTACTTCACCTTCTTTTATCATGCTGTAGGATCACAAATTGTGAATCTAGTCCTTTGGAAGAACAACGAGCAAGTTGTGACCGCCTTTGACCACAAAACATCAGCAGATACGGCTGATAATGGAGGCAATGCAGCTTTCCTGCAACTGCAGCAAGGAGACCAAGTGTACATGAGGATGGGTGCGAACAGTCATGTCTGGCAGAACGCTCGCACCACCACTTTCAGTGGTGTTCTTCTGCGTCCGCTCTGAAATACACTATGTTTTGCTACTATACACCCTTAACATATAAGCTTTTTGAGAAATTTCTTGTTTCCAAACAAAATTTACTATATTAATATTCATCTTTGAATAATTTCTGCAATAAACCACTCTGATTTTCAGTCGCAGTTCTGATATTTTAAAAGTATGGTTGAGACAATAAAAGAATGCATACAACATTTTTTTATTAGAAGAATATGTAAATGATCTGATTGTGGTTTTCTATCTTGGTGTTGCATTTTTAAGGCTTCTGTGCTTAAGATCAGGAAAATAAAGCTGGTCTAAATCAATATAAAATGCATTTTTTAAATGCATTTTAACGAACAAAACCAGTCTTTAGGAGTCAGAAGTATTTGTAATTTAACAAATTCTGAAGAACAAGTCTGTTTGGAATTCATTAAAGTCAAGTTTATTTGATGAACAACACAATGGTGTTCTTGCATGTGCATTCACAATGTCGAATTTTGATTTAATCATCCAGAAGGAGGCGCTGTTGATAAAGAATAAAGTTCATGGCTTCCTGCTGAACTTGCTGTTCTGATCTCTAACATCTAAAATTCTGTATTTTGCAAAGAGGAAACTGAAAATATAAAAACACACCAAAAAAACATGAAGCTCAGCTTTTCCCACTAATCGCAGACGATCTCCGTCATTCCACTAAACTTTACAATTCAGTCAAGAACTAAGCTTGTATTTCCCTGTCCAGTCCAACAGAACCAACACAAGACTCAGCACCAAATGTCCACAGTCGCTTCGTTATCCTCAAACTCTTCCACAGTCTAAGAATATTTTGCATAGATACAAAAAAAAAACTCTTAGCAACCTACTTTAAGTTTTGTTGACATTGTATGAATATAACTTACTGAGTAGCCTCCCCCCCCGGCCCCCTCCAAAATAGCAACTCCAAAATAGCAACTCCTTTTACGTAGCTTCATTATATATTTTCCTTAGAAATGACTGGCTTATGCTTTTTGAAATGATACTTTTAAGTCTCCAGGAACATTATAGTTTTCTATATGTGTAATTGTGGACTTCAGTCTGTTAATAAAGTTGGAGTTGGATTAAATATAATTTTATTTAAAGTCATGGTAGGAAACATCAACAGTAAATTGACCAAAGCATTAAGTGGTGTGAGGTGTTGTTAATGATCACTTTATGTACAGCCCATTCTCACATGCACCTGTGAGTGACTTGCATGTGGCGCCTGCCTTCCTCCAGAACTCCCTAGACGAGATGGAGGACTTTTTTCTCTGTTTTGCGTTCCCTCGCAACAATGAACTGATTAGTTCATGCGGCATAATTGAATACTGCAAGCCTTTCTTATGGTGGCGGTCATATTTTCTGCTTTAATATAAGGTTATGTAAAAGAAAATGCCCATGTATGTTAATATCTTGTTGTGAAATATCTGGAAATTTTATATCTTTTTCTTTAGGATAGAAATGCACCACAGATCTATGATACAGACAGAAACTTTCCACAAGTAGGAAAGAAAGAAATAATGCATCCAAACTATTTGGACTGTTTCTGAATTATTACCATGGAGTAATAAAATCGTCTGACAGTTTTGATTGCCATCTCAACCTTACACAAACAGGCATAAACCTGCAGTGTATAAATTGATTTTCAATCTATTTTTTATTTATTTATTTATTTATTTGCACCAAAGAGTTAAGAATAAACACGATTTCTCTGAGGCTCTTTAATGTGTACATATTTGAAATTTGAAATTGACATTTGGGTCTGTATACAAAATAGACCAGCAAATATTGTAGAAGGTATATTGCGAAGGAACACAAAAGAAACATTTTTCCCCAAGCTCCCTGGGGGGTCCGTCCCTTCCTGATCAGATTGTTTGTCTTTTTCTTGTCTACTATATGTTGTGTTCCCCACAGAGGACAACATAATATCACTATGGCTCATCATCTCAGTCCAACGCTCCAAAGAACTGTTGTAAACGGCATCATAGAGAAGCATGGTGGTTATGACGTGCTGAAGAGGGACTGTTAGAAAGGCTAGGAGATTGTGAGTCAGGCAGGCGTCAGAAGTGTCTCACCTGGTTCTAAGTGGAAAAGAACCAGGTTGTTGCTCTGTGGTACAAAGTCCTTTTTTTCAGATGAAAATAAAGTTTTCTGATGTTTGTTCCAGCTGAAATTTGAACCTTTCTGTTGTGATGCCAAAGGAATCAAGAGTCGGTTCATTGACCGTGATGTTACTGTACATGTTTGACCGAAGCCCCATAGAGAATCTACAGTGTTCTGTCTGGAGCAGGGGTCCTGAAGTTCAGGGATTCAGGTCTGGTTTTCTGAAACTTTCAAATGTCTCCCTGGTTCAACACATCTGAATTCAATGGCTGAATTACCTCCTCACTAAAAAGTCACGTTCTCCAGAGTCCTGCTGATGAACTCATTATTTGAAGACCCTCGTGAGAGGAGGATGAGAGAAACCAGACCCAACAATACAGATGTGCTGAAGGCCAACATCTAATACTTCACTGGCCTGAATCTTTTGCACATTTAAAAAAAAAACTTACTTATATGTAAATCCTCAAAGTAAGCAAAACTATAATAAATAAAGGTATGCGCATCAAGATTATAGAATAAACGACATAGACAAACGATGAATGGATGACATCAGGATTATGACCTGCAACAGTGGCTGTTTAGACCAAAATTACCAGTTAGTTTTTCATGGGGGCACTGGATAAAACCATGAAACAAAGCAAAAACAAACAAATAATGCCTCATCCCATGCAGTCCTTAACCTAAACATATGGCTTAAGCTTCTTTGTTTTGAACAATTTGGCAAAAGATTTTACAATGAGAGCAAAGGGTCACAGAAAGCATTTTAATGGCAGCATCACCGACCGTGTGATGCTGAGGAACATCAAGCATGATGCCAGCCAAAGTCACCTTAAGGATATATTTGTGAGGATTATGATTTTCTAGTATAGGTTGTTTAATTCGGTCCTCTTGTGTCATATTTTACCGTTTATTGGTTAATTAGTCTCTGCGTTGTCACATCTTACTTCGATTGTACCCGGCTGTGTCGAGTTCCCTTATTGTTCCTGTGTGTATTTGAACTCCCCTGTTGTTCTCTGTGTTCACTGGGTCCTTGACACTCATTTGAATTTATTATAACTTTTCTTAAACCCATTTCAGTATTATAGACCAATGTTAATTTAACAAAAAAAAAAAAAAAAAATGGGTGTCAATCTTTTAACACTTTCAAAAGTGTTACTTTAACACCTCCTGACTTGGACACATATAGACACTCTTGGGTGTTAATTCAACACTGGCATTTTTACTGTGTATGTTGTTTGATCCTGATCACAGTTTGAGTAGTAAACTTCCTCATCCTGGATCCGAGTTGTGCAGCTCCTCTCCAACGCAAACGAGATCAAGACAATTTTAAACAGAAATGTGGAGCTTTTGAAAAGTATTATTTCTATGGACAAGTGTCTTCGACGCCAGTCTTCAAGGATCGGTATCTTTGAACTTCTAGTTGAAAAGTTGTTTGTTTTTATTCTGTATGTTTTGCTAATAATCTATTGTTCTAAAATAACACACATCACTACACTGGTATTTATAAAACAATACCTGAGAGATTAAAACTTGCTTGGCTATTAATTTCCTGATAATCAGGCGCTGTCCAGACTTGGTAATATTGATCAAAATGACTGACTTTGTTAATGATTACCTATTAAACATTTTAATATTCAATCATAGTAAAATCAAACATTGTTGTACAACAGACAGCTTTATCTTTATAAACCCTTTACTGTGTACTTTAAGTTACATTCTGGATTTTACTATTAATTGAAGCATACAATTTTCTTCATTATGATTATGTGCATTTCTATGTCTACTAACTATGAAAGCTTAGTACTAACACTGATTTACAAGCGATATTTCAACACCTCAAAAGCACTGAAAAGGCAAACAGAGCAAACGCAACATGTTAACTATTAATCCTGAAGAATCATAGAAACAGCATCAAGTTGGATGGAGCATTAGAGAACCAGGATGAATTTCACACTGTGGTTGTTACTGAGCTTCTGTGGTTTAACTTTGGGCCAGGAAGGTTTACCTGAAACAGAAGTCACTACTGAAACCGGGTCATGCTTTCCTGATATGTGCAAGTTCCTCAAAGAGTTTGCAGCCATGAAAGCTAAACTAGAATCTGTGGAAACCAATCTGAAAGAGACTGAAAGTCGGGTTCTGGTGCTTAAACAGAAAGGTGAAGCCTTGGAAACAAAGCTGAATGACTCCGAAAGACATGTTGTGGTGCTTAAAGAGAAAGGAAAAACCTTGGAAACAAAGCTGAAAGAGACTGAAAGCCACGTTCTGGTGCTTAAACAGAAAGGTAAATAATTTTTTTTATTCTGGTTTAGCAGTTTCACTGATGTTTATGAAACTGATCAAACCATTTTTCATTTATATTTTATCTAGAAGCATTGAAGGTGGTTTTCAGTGCTGGTATACTTGGGAATGCAGCCATTGGACCCTTTAGCACACCCAGAACCTTAATCTATACAAGAGTAATAACGAATTTGGGCAACGCCTACAACCAGAACACAGGTAAGTCGATTTGTTCTTTTCAATAAAAACTACATTTAATTTGCTGTTCTAAGTATGACATATAAAAAGGATTAAGCATTTCTGTGTTTTTAAGGAGCATTTATTAATAGTCTTATTTTTCATGTCCATGTTAAGCCATGATGACTGAAGTTAATAAAAGCGGCTCTTTAACACTTTGAATGTCGACCCTGTAATTGACTTAGATTCGCCTTTATCCTTCTGTTCTCTGCTATTCTTTACAATAAAACTATTCATCTGTAGAGTGAAACAAATCAATAGTATCATTAAATATAAGATGTATGATACAAATGTATTGCTCCACTAAAATGTATTTATCTAATTTGTGACAGTGAAGTCATATGTCACTTAAATACAGTAGGAAAAAAGCAAGCAATTATATTTTGTCAGATTTTTTTGAGAATAGCTCAAAATCTACTAAAATGTGTCCAAATCATGATACATGATGTTTTTCCATATCACCCAGCACTATTTCAGTATGTAATATAAAATCTGGAGTTTAATTTATGTTTTTGGAACATGGTTCAATATAAAGTCAGAGTTTTTCACAAAGCAACAGAATTTATTTGACTCAACTTTTCCACAGGTATCTTTGTTGCGCCTGTTGGAGGCATGTACTACTTCTCCTTCTTCTATCATGCTGGTGGAGGACATAAAGTGCGTCTGCTCCTCATGAAGAACAATGAGCATGTTCTGGAGAGCTCTGATCACAAGACACTGAATGATGGGGCTGATAACGGAGGCAATGCTGCCTTCGTGGAGCTGCAGCAGGGAGACCAGGTCTACGTCCAGCTGCATCCAGACACACATGTTTTTGGAGGCAGCCACACAACTACTTTTAGTGGTTTTCTTCTGCATCAAGTCTGAAAAAACATCGATGTGATCATTTGAATGGCTTAAAACTACTGACCAGACACTGACCATGGTTAGTGTTTTTCAGTTTGATTCGCTAATCCGTTGTAGATTATAATTAAGTTGAAATGATCCAGCAAAACTTTCTTCCACATTACATGAACGTCACTCTGAGACGTCAGCGTCTCTGCAGGAAAGAGTTTTGCTAACAAAAGCATAAAAGGTATAAATGGAAAAAGAAAATGTATCTTGATGCAACAAGTCCTTCAGAAAAGCATAAAAATGTTTGAATTGATGCAATTCCAGATTTTTCTTAATTTTACAATTATAAATGTAAATCTCTGAGGGGGCATTATGGTTCCCATGGTTTGTTTTAATCTGTGTATAAATGAATTTAAGTCTGTCAATAAAGCTTGAATTGATCTGAGTAGAAATTACAGTTGTAGTCAATAAAAATTTTACTTTTCATGTGATTTTTATTTATTGATGGAAAAGCTTTACCAAACCAACCTGAACCAACTATAATATGAATAGGTGAACCTTTAGAGCCATACCAGGTTCTACCCACCTTAGTGTCATTAGTTGTCAATCATCACTTTCTTTAACCGCCAATGACATTTACATCACTGTTGATAATTAGGTACTTATGTTCCTCCATACAAATATCTCAGTGCCAGTGGGGGAATACATGCGAGTTTGTGTTTGGTTTCTACAAAGATAAATAAACCGGCAATGACTTTTTAAATCCAGAAGATGTCACTGCAAGTGACACAGTTACAACACAGAGTTGAGACAGTTTGGGAAATGTGTCACACACCCAAAAAGGCCCATCATCACTCCTAGGCATTTAAAAAAACAAAGGTCAAGTACCGACAGTATTACTCACTTCCAATGAACACACACAGCTGAGACGGCCTAGTAAACAATGTCTGAACTACACAATGTTCAGAACTGTGTATCAACGGGATCGAGCAGCCACCTAGTGGCGGAGAATAAAAACTACATGCAAAACACTTTGTTTAAAGAAAACTAAATTAAATGGCTGAAAGCAAATATTTAATAGTCTTCTGTACTCTTGTAATTCCACAGATGATATTTTCTCAAAGGCCCTACGGATCATGTAGATATTGGTTTGGAAATTTTGGACAGACCTTTGTAAACCTTTTGGTCAGCAGAGGTTTTCTCCTTGTCGATCTGAGACCATTTAAATGTCGGCTTAATAAAGTCAGCCCAGCACAGCTTTAGATGTAGTTCAAAGTTCCCTTGTGACATCCTGTACCTTTTTCAGTGAGATGATGACAACGGGGTCAATTGTTTTTTGTACCAGTTGCAGACAACAATAGTTTTCATTGTAACAGTTGAAATGTTGTGATAATACTGACATAACTTTATTTGAT